TTAACCTGATGTCTAGGGGACTAATCCATGATCCGTCAACTACTGCAGATATTTTACGTTAGCACTCTGATCTTTGTGAGCCGGGGGGGGGCGGATTTCACTTCGACCAGACATCGCTGGAATTCGAACTCGGGTCACCTCATGGGGAGGCGAGTGCTCTATTCCCTGGGCCATCATGACGATATTCCACTGCTTTGATAAGTTACCTACTACTGTAACGATTTTGAGAAACCACTGGATGCCCTGCTGATAGCACCTTCTTCAACACCGCAGTGATGATATGTTTTCAAAATGTTTTTTATAATAATTTTTTTTTATTTGTTTATTAACCAATAATGCAGTTATCAACATTATCAGCATAACAGTTGTATATAGATGAATCTGACATTTTACAACTTTTCTAGAGCATTGTTTAAAGTTAGATCTTTTCTTTCGTCCTTTTTTTTTATATGAACAAAACTAGATTGAACCGTGACTCTCAAAAGTGTTCGTCCCGCAGTGGACTGATCGTTAAGACACGGTTCCCAGCAGATCACCGAAGTCAAGCATCACTGGCTGTGGTCAGTGTGCGGGTGGGTGACCACTTGGATCAGTCTGCGTAGGGACCGAGGGTGTGCGGTATTGGTCCTCGTTAAACTGTTCTACCGTCAAGTGCTCGACTTTGCGTGCAGGTCGTCGGGCTACCGAAGCGGGGGTGCCATCCCCTCTGCTGAGGATCAAAATTGTGATGGCATGTCTTCGGATCATCCTCAGGGATGTTTCCCAGACCGTCGCCAATAGCCCATTGTGCAGCTCTAGTGCGACGTAAATGAACAAATAAAAAAATAAAATAAAGTGTTCGTACACTTATTACTTTCAACGAGATAGGGCTTTATTCATTGATAAAATTGAATATTTCAGAATGGTTGTTTAATAATAAGATGTACTCTTATCAAAACTGTATGGAATGTTTTAAAAACAGAACAAAAATTTATGTCCATTCTGAAATATTCATTTTAATTAATGAATAGAGCAATATGAGAAAAAAGCAACTTTTTTTAACGAGAACTGCTCATTAAGGCTCTTTTTCGAAGGCTCCATCGTAATCTGAAAAGATGCTTTTCTAAGAATAATATGTTATTTTTATAACTGCTGTGAGTTTGTAACTGTTACTTATGACTGTTTGGTCAAATTTTAGTTTATCTAAAGCCAGCGTTGTCTACGCTTATTTTGAAAATGACGCAAAGCGTCAATATGGAGAAAAGCCACACTTTTGTGAAATTGAGAATCATTTGTGATCTAATTTTTTAATCTTTAAAAACTTGCTCCAATGTTGTATTACTAGGGCTCATAATTTGAAAAAACTGAGAATAAGGCAATGATTTTGATAATTTTTATCTAGGAGGAAAAATGTCGCCAAATTAGCGATTTTTAAAAAAAGTTTAATAACTTTTTAAATATTTAAGTTATTTGTTTGTTCTAAAGCCCAGATAATTCTTCACATCAATATTATATATATAATTTAAAATCATTGCATAGCTTCAAGTGTAAGATACTTAAACTACGGCTTTTTTATTTTCCTTAGCGACAGAGCTTCATAAAACACCGTTTAATCTACAGATCTCCACAATATCAAACTTTTTTAATTCGATAAAGAAAACTCCGATTTGGACACTATGTTGTCTGTTACTTACTAAAATATGAATTGTTTTAATATCTTAAAAACCAAATAAGTAATTTTTGAAGGACTTTCCTCATTTTCACCGTCCATTGTGACTTTTCCAATAATGTCAAAAAAGTAAAAAAAAAAAAAATTTACTACCAGTTTCTTTTTTTAAATTTTATATTTTTGCATAAACAGCATTAAACAGATATACGATTGTTCCCCAGTAGGAAAATGTTGGAAGTGGAAGTTGAGGTTTCCATTTAATTAAAACAACTGCCCCCCTCCCCAAATGGTTAATATACGTAAAGCACCAATACGAGAAAAGTGGTAGTTGTGATTAATTTACATTAAGTACACGTTTTATTCTTTTGCTACTACTTAAGCTTATAAAAAGGTCTATGCACAGAGTTGCCAACTGCTCCGGTTTCTACAAAATATTTTACGAAATGATAGACAACTATACACTAAAATTTGCCTCTTTTCGTTTAATTTTGCCAACTTCTAAAGGGCTCTATAAAGCATAATAATTAAGTGAAGTTTCACAATAGCTTTTGAATTATTTAAAAATAGTGGCGAGTAATAACCCTATAAATAGAACTTACTGACCAAGAATCATACATTGCAACACTACCAGGGATAGATGCCAACTGCTCCGCTTTCTGTAAAAAAGTTTAATAAATTTGTAGCGAACTGAATAGTTAAATACGGATAATTACGCCTATTTTTTAAAAAAAAGTTTCGCCATGAGTTCTCGCCATATGAAGTCGCATTTTAAATGATACTTTGTATTTCTGATTAGTAATGGTTGAAAAATTACTGAAAATGAAATATACTAACCAAAAATAATTTAAATTTCATTACCACTAAAAAACGTTTTTTTACAAGTTGGTATCGCTGCACTACTACTGGAAAATATTTATCGCTACCATAATGATGCTTAACCCAAAATGTTTTTAACTCATAGTATATAATATTTTTCATGATGTATGGGGTAGGGGCCGCTTTTCGGCCCAGGTACACAGGTTTTTGCTAAATAAAGTAAGGAAGAAAATATTTATCCTCAGTCCGGAGCAAGTTGGCATCTCTATATGCATTGACTTTCGTTCTAAAGATAAATATTTATATTGGTAGTAAAAAAATTTAATTTCTCCCTCTCATTTAAGATTAAAAAACTATTTCAATAATTTCTAAATCTAAGCAATAAAGAATTTTATAACTTTTGATAGTAAACAGAAAAAAGATGTAGAAATTCATACAGTATGCCTTAAGATTTTAAGACACCTCATTAAAATAAGTTGTTATCGTACGATCGAAAAATATTCGATAAAAATATTAGAAAAGGTTTCTAAATCATTAAATTATTCATGACAGAAAATTTTGAAGATTTAAAATAGCCAGTTAGACGAGAAGTTAAAATTGGCACAATATCAAAACTTTAAGGCACCCATTTAATTTGTTGAAGTTTCATTGTTTCAGACAAGAGTTTTTTTGTTCTTCTGTAGGTGTTTATCGTTTTCAAAAGAGAAGTCGATTGTGAGAATTTTATTAAATAAAAACAATGTGACGCGGGTTAAAATTAATTAACACAGCGAGAATACAGATTATGACTTTTTATCTCTATAAATGTTCCCGAAATGGAATTTTTTCACAGGTTGTTACAAATTTTTAAAAATTTAAGACCATCCGAACCTTTTGTTACGAACTCAGAACTACTACGTATCCATAATTGCTATAAAAATTGGAAAATTTAAAGTATTGTGCGAAACTGTCTTAAACTTTGTGAAAGAAATGGAGAGAAAAATCTAGGTGGCAAGGGGTGAAACTTGCGAATTTATAAATCTCGTCATCTGAATACGTTGTGTAACACATATGCTATGTTACACGACGTAAAATGTCGTGCTAATTAAGTTAATAATCGAGACAATGCTCTTGGATCCAAATATAGTGTTTACCGAGAGCTAAAAATACTACAAAAATATAAAATACGTTGAAATTGCTACATAAAATTGAATTGTTAAAAGTTGGCGAACCGACTTAGAGACATTCAACTATATTTCAAGCTTGCAAAAGAACCTGGGATGCAAGATTTTTTAAGGACCAATGAATGAAATTTTTTTTTTGTTGGCATCGATGGGTACAAATATTTGACACCATCTACAAAATCATCACGATTTGGAATGGAATCTGCAGATGGCTCAGTAATGATTAAGTTAAAGATATAAACTGTCCTGCAAACTCACCTGATCTAAACGCTATTAAAGAACTTAGGGCAATAATAAAAATGAAAAAATAACGTTTATGAAGGCGGCAAGCAAAATGAAAGTGTTGTAAATCTTAAATAATTGCTGCATCATGTTCATAAATATTCTTAACAACAAAAAATTCTTGTTTCTAACATGGAAAGTCATAAATTTATACATTAAAAAATATGAACTAATTCATTAAAAAATGCCAATCCCGCTCGTTAATAGTCAAAAGATTTTGGTGTTTTAGCTCCTCTCTGTTAAAATCTTCATCAATTTTGAATGCTGCCTTATAGTTTCAGGGGGGGGGGGGGGGNGGGGGGGGGGAGTATAATTTTTTTTCTTTTTCGTCCTAACAAAAGATTTGAAGGTTATACATACAATTAAATAATTTATTATCTAAAAAGTAATTTAGTGAAAAAATACACACAGCTTTTAAGAATATTAAAGTTTTGAATTTTAATTTTCTCATTTTAATAATTTTTTTGTAATTTTTACCTTATTATTTACGATTGTCAAAATTATAACTGTGTTTCAATCTAATTTTTTTTAAGCATCCGTTTTCAATACTAAGTTTTTTTAAAAAAAGAAAATTTTGCGATCAAAAATCAATCAAAATTTGTCCTTTTTTGATTGATTACTGCTTTTCATTTGCAACCACTTTTTACCTTTAAACGCTCACATTTCATCATTATTTTTTTCAATTGGTATCTGAAAAAGACCTTCTATTTTAGATAACTATTTTAAAAATTTACTATTAATTTAAATAAATTTGGTCGGTAAAAAAGGTGCTAACGTTAAAAGACAAAAAATGTAGTATAAATAATAAATGGGATAAACAGATTATTGCATCGTATAAATAATTAATGGAAATATAACTTACATATGCATAATCATATCTTTTAAATTCTTTAATTAATTTATTGCTCCCAACAGGATTCAACATTCACATTTTCTTACAAGTGGAAATAAATAAGGAGAAAAAAAAATTAATCAGGGTCTATTAATTTTCCCTGAATAGGCTCTTTTTCCCCCTAAATGTCAACGACAAAAAATCCCTTTCAAGCAGTCAGGCAGAACAGGAGGCAACTAATTTTTACTTTTTATTTTAGTTGATCTACGAGTTCAAAACGTTCTCCTCTCTTGGCTCTCATACTTTGTTTGACGGCGACAAGTTCTGTCTTTATCAATGATAAACTCCTCCAAACCAGTGGAGGCATTATTATTATGGATGCACTTTCTAATAATCTTCTTCCTGTGGCCTTTTTGTGATTTTTCTTACATTTGTCTGCAAAGGTAAGGTATTATTTATTCTATCCCTAACTTCAAGCATATTTACATGCTTTGTTTTTAGAACGTTTTAAAAACGATATACTTGAAGGAAAAATTATTCTTTGTTGAGTGTTCCATAACCCTTTAAACCCGAGTGGGTTAGACCAGCGGTTCCCAATCTTTTTTTGACTACGGAACCCAAAATAATCAGCCTTCTTACGGCGGAACCCCGACTTTTAAATAAAGTTTATTAAGGTAAATGTGAACGTTATAATTGATAAAAGACTAAATGTAATTATTTAATTGGTGGTATGAAGATTTAATAAATGTTTTATTATTTATAATCTTAAATTATGTTTTACGTCCGACTGTTGAATTTGCAGTGGATTGGTATTTAATAATTGTAGTGGTGAATTGTCTAGCTATGAATTTGTTTTGGTGTATAACAAATTATGGTTTACTTCGAAAAGAAAACTTAAAACTGCTTTAAAATTGCTACTTGGGAAAAATATTTCTTTAATACAGATGTGCTGTAACTACCACTACAATTATTAAATACCAATCCACTATTATATAAACTATGTTAGAATACATCATAGATGAAGCTTGATATCGTCAATCGTTCTTCTCCCTTTAACACCAAATTGCATAAGGAAGTCATTTTGACTGCTTTTAATTTCAATTAGAAAAACAATGATGTATATAATGACAAAATTTCTTAGAATTTTGTGAGTTTTTGTTCAACATATAATTTTTTTTATTGTTAATATTTACTAATAACTTGTTATATAACTGTAAATAATTTAAAAAATGTTAAAAATTAATTTTAAATACATTTATTTACGCATTCACAATTCAGTAATTTTGACTGCATTTGGGCTATATAGGTATATACTAATTTCCCGTCTTTCTAGTGTTAATAGTGGTTTGTGGATATGAATAAATAACTAACGTATTTTGATTTGAAAAGTGTAATGAGAAATTCTAATGCAATATTTTATAAATGCTTGTTCTTCACATAATTTGTTTAATATATTGTTGTGAGAAATATTATATTTTCTTTTAAAAAGTGTCATTTCTATTTCCTTAGCATTTTACTAGAAATAATTTCATAAAAGCAAACGAAAGATTAAATAAATTATGAACTCTAGGTTGGATTTAAATATAATTTGACGTTACAAAACTCATCACTAGTTATATAAAGGGTTTCGCAGAACACCATTTAAGAACAACTGGGTTAGACAATAATCCCTATTGATGTAGTTTTATAGTATTTTACTTAAATATATCTGCCAACTTTTACGCTTTTTGAGGAAGATTTATCTAAGTGGTTGTGAAAAAATAATTAAAGTAAGCAGATATTATTTTATTTTTTGTTAGTACTTAAAAAAGAAGAGAATAGAAAACAGTTTTTTTTATGTTTGAATTTTTTATTTGTGAAAGTGGTCAAATTCTTTTACATCAAATTTCTTAAAAATAATCAAATTTAGAAAAATATATTTTGTTTCCACTGGAAAGAAATCTTTCGTAAAAAGCGCACATGTTCGAAACTTTGCATCTCTCTAAATTAAAAATATTACCGCTGTCGTCGTAACAAAACAAATAAATAAATAAAAAAACATCAAATAGTTTGCTAAAGTATATATCTTTACTTAGAATATATTATCTTAACAATCACGCTAACTAATGTGGTTTTTAACTAAAATTTTCATCTGAAATTCCTTGCTTTGGAAAAGTTTATCATAGGTGTCATATGTAACCTTTTTTTTTACTCAATTTTTCAAATTAGCGGTCTATCACATCCTGACTTTCCACCGTTGTAGGTAGCGATTTATGGTGTGCAACTAAGTAGATACGAATTCTTTTAGTGTTTTCTTGCGTTAAATGATGTAAAAGATTTCTCGAAAAGCAAGATCATTCATGAAATTTTATCGTTAGGCATCCAGCTGCCTTATTTAAGGACAAATCCTTTGACAAACTGAAAAAAAAAATTCCTCCAAAAAACGTAAATGCTGGCAAATGCAATTATAACTAATATACATTAAAAAAGAACTCATTTTTTTGCTGTTATCTACCGTTTTAATTACAGAAAATCGCAGCTTCTTGTTTTCAATTTATAATAAATTTTTTAAACATATGATAACATGCATCATGTTCCTTTAATTTTAAAAGTTTAAAAGCGAACTTCTGCTATTTTTTGTTTCTCCCCTAATTGTTATAAAATATTAAAAGTATGAAGAAATTAAGCAAATTCTTATTTTCCTTCATTTATCATCTGTTCACTGGGTGATACAGTCGATTATCCTGTTTATGGGTTGAAATGCTTAAAAATCATTTATATTTCCCATATAATTTAACTAAAAAATTACCACTACTATAATTTTTCTGTTTGCTCTAGCAGAAGTCTCTTATAGAAGCAAACGATTAAAATGGTTTTCCTACTTCAATGGTTCACAAACTGCATGAAAGATTTCTTGTAAAACAACGAAATAACAAAATGTAATTTTTTTAGAAACAATTTTTAAGAAATTAGGGGTAAGACCATTTTGTTGACTGAGCTACTAGAAAAAAGTAAAGACCCTTAATTAACTCATTTATGATCAATGTTGCGAAAATGTAACAACATTTGTTTTGATGTAGGCAAAACTTTGTGAAAGAAAAAGGTAGGGCATTTATACTTCGACAAGGTTAATATTTTATACTGTAGGCTTCCACTAAATGTATCGCAATGGCTTGATTTGAGATCAAAATACAGATATTCATATTATTAATAAATCTTGGTGTATGGTCAGAAAAGAAAAGCGGATCACCATAGGGTTTTTTGAACTATTGGTCTGATTTTAATTCTGTATGGTGCAATATAACAACATCTCGTAGAAATGTCTTAAAATGTGTGTAGCCGTTAACTGTAACCGTAGTGAAATACTTATTTTGATGCAAAAATACACTTTTTAACAAACTATTTTTTACTGCATTCGCATTAGAGGGCAGAAATAACCAATTACTGAAACTAAATTTAAAAAAAAAATTGGACAATAAAGTGGGGGTGGTCTATAGAAACAAATGAACATTTGACGTAAATCGCCAATTTTTAGTAAGTTATTCATTGCGTAAACCTCGTACATACATATTCTTCTCCACTCCGAATTGGAGCATAGGGCTTCTATCTCAGCTTTCCATCCATCTCACTCTATTTGTGGTCAGACATTTTACCTCTCCCCATGTCTTTGCTATTGTTTTCAATTCGTTTACAATCGCCCTGCGTAAACCACGTATCTGCCAACATTTCGAAAATTTTTTTCTAGCGGTAGGGAAAGTTCATTTTAATTGAGATTACAAGCTGGTGTTTCATTAAAATTTACCAAACACATAACACACTTTCAGAGAGCCAGCAGGTCTACCATGTTTAGATTGTCTCATCTTGGCAACGCACCGGAGTAAAAACTGGTAACAATAAATTTCATTTTTTAGTTTTTTTCCGGGAATAATAAAAATCCATAACTACCTATTGCTTTTAACAGATGCAATTTTTATATTGAATAATTGCTTCTTCGCCGTGATAAATTTCCATACAGTGAATTGTTATTGTTGAGAATAGATTAACTCCTCCCGAATATTATCTAATATTGAAATAGTTCTTCTACCAGTATTTTCTCTTTTCCCGTACCAGTATTTTCACTTTTCCCGGCGTGAACGTGTTAAATTATTCAGATGTAATGGTATTCAAAATGATTTTAAACCACATTTATGCAGGTAAGAATTAAGTGTGAATTTAGTATATATTTTGCAACGCATTAAGTATAAAAATAAAATCCGGAGGATTTTGCAGGTTACAACTTTTTAAGAACAAACATGTAAATACTACTTCAAATTTATAGCAATAAATAAAAACTGGTATCAATATTTTCAGTTATTTATCACGTAAATTTATAAATCCGCTCAGTGAAGTAAATCTAACCCTAGATTAATAATAAAAATAAAGGAAAAATGGTACTAAAAGTTTTTTTCTCAATTAAAAACTAGTAAAATAAATATTTTCTTTGCTCGTTTTTGGCTATTTGGGTTTAATAGATGGCTGTAAGAATATATTATTCCTGAAATTAATGTTTTTTTTCTCCTTTCCATTTATCCTGTACGTTTTAAGTAAAAACTAGCAACATTTGTATTGGTCTTAATAGAAATAGACTTTTAACACTAGATTGCCTAAAGAAGTCATTTTGACTGCTTTTAATTTCAATTAGAAAAACAATGATGTATATAATGACACGATTACTTAGAATTTTGTGAGTTTTTGTTCAACATATAATTTTTTTTTATTGTTAATATTTACTAATAACTTGTTATATAACTGTAAATAATTTAAAAAATGTTAAAAATTTATTTACGCATTCACAATCCAGTCATTTTGACTGCTTTTGGGCAATATAGGTATATACTAATTCCCCGTGTTTCTAGTGTTAAAGACAGAAATCAAACTTAGCACGGTTGGGTACTAATTATTAGCTTCTAATTTGGATCTGTAGTCCTCAAATTATAAATTTTAAAAAATGAAGTTGTATCCAATAAAATAAAGGTTTACATCATGTACGCAATATGCTATCATTACTTTCATAATAGCCTTTTTCACATCGTAGTAATGTTAGAATTTGGGCGAAACGATTTATGCGTAATCCACATTGATAAAGATATAGGTTCGTGAAATGATAAAAATTTATTTCTGTAAAAGTTAAAATGGCATTATCATGAGTACCCCTTTCATTGTACTAGGAGCTATTTTTAAAAGCAAAAACAGCCATTTTATTTACCCAGGAAATTATTAAATATGTTTACAAATTATAGAATATTGTACTTAATACACTTATAAGATATAATACTTAGTTATAATACACCTATGATGTTTTTTTTTATACCAAGAAAGCATGTAGTTGCCAATTTTCGTCCCTTCATGGAAGATATTTTCTAAGGCAGAAATTACCTTATTTTTGCTATAATTTATAAACATTACTACAAATTATCAGAATATA